CAGTAAGAAATACTTTTGATATTAAAGCTGGAAGCAATGACAGATTCCTGGAGATATGGTGGCGAATAGAAAAAATAGCTACAAAGTATCTCTAATATTCTGAATGAAATCCATCCTTCTTACACCTATAATTTCCAAAAGATAAATCTTACTTACGGACTATGGGAACACCAAGCTAGCTAATCCTGGCTTTATACTCTCTTCCATGCAGCTATCTAGCAAGCTTACATTATTCTCTCAAATCTTTATGGAATTTTTCTCCCAGATCATCATCAAATACTGTTGAGTTAGGAGTGATTACTTTGCATCCTGAGGTTTAGATTTAGAAAACCATGAGCATGACAATCTAATCCTTTGGATGTAGGTTACCTCTTCCTCACCAACACTTAATATATAGTGCCATGCATCAATGCACACTCAAGTCTCCTGCACCACCCAAAGAATCTCTAATTTGTGCTGCATATGCTGGTACGTGCATGGTTTAGTATACAGCAAACCCTTTTGCTTATAATTAGATTTAAATCTAATGTACTTGGTACATTAGATTCTAGTGTATTGGTATTGATGAAGTAGGTGAGAGATCATGTGAATGGTGGGTCCCCTGACAAGCAATAAGCCAATATTGCTTGTTATCTTCAAAACTAGCATTTTAATTTTGAGATTTCAAGTAGTAGGTTGAATTATCTTCAATTCCTGAGATCTACTAAGGCTGTTATTGGTTCCTGAAAAAGAGTAAGAAAAGAAAAGTTGTGGGATGATCCTTAAAATTTCCATTACTTTTTTTTCCCTCATTCTTTTTATGTAGGTTGGTAGACCATTCTTCCCCCATGGAAAATCCTCATGAATTCAAAACATCCTCAATAAACAGATTTACATCATTTTATTTGAATAAATCTGTACTCACTTTTTGCACTCTTATCAAACTTACATGTCAACTTTACATAAAAACAAACGCACATTGCAAAAATTAATAGGAAAAAACTTCAGTCCCATTGCAAGACTTCCCCAGTGGAATCCATCACTAGCAATGTACCCTGATGTTAGGCTAGGCATTAAATAGTCTGGGTCCCATTACAAGACTTCAATCACTCTTCAGTCTTCCCCTAACAGGACTGGTATCAGAACCCGTATCCCCATTTAATCAAATTGGTTCCTGGGATTTGTTCATCAATAGCAAGTCACCTAAGTTTCTTAAAAGGGAGAAGATGGTAAAACTGAACTGATCAAAGGAAGATAACTGTATATTCCACCAGGAAAAGGATTGTATAGTTTCATGCAAGATATCCTTGCCCTGCACTCAAAACCCAAAATTGAACATTAGATGGATTAGTTAAAAGTTATGGCATTGCTGGCAGGTGGAGGAAGATGTTTTCTTCAGACAAGAAAAAGAGATAATTCGGTTTCCCAACTACATAGACCACCACTGGAAACTGAATTTGTGGGGGATAAATTCAGAACCTTTAACACTAAAACATAATATAGACTTACAACCCAAAATTCTTTATTACACTTAATTCGTGGGGGACAACCCAAAACCCTAATAGCTAACTTCTTCAGTTCCTCCACTTCCCCTTTGCAGATTTGAAATGCATGCCATCTTCTCAACTGCCTGTTGGACAAAGTAGAATAACATTTAGATAAAGACCCATCTCCTGATGTGAGGTAGATCAATCAGCATGAATCATGAATACATCTGTATACATCTAGGCCATGATGAGAGAGAGGAAATTGATTTTCCAAATTTTAGTAACAATATTTGGGAAACAAACAAACAATAAGTAGATCATGGAATGAAGTCTAGTAACCTGGTGCAAACACTTCTGTGATGGAAAAATCTTTTAATACTCGTAACAGAAGTTACAATTTTGGCTAGAAAACCTCAATACAGAAAATTAGTGAGATAGGGAAAGTTTGGTTTTAGTTTGGCTGCATTTGATTCCTTGAATTAGTGAGGAAGGGCAAGTTGGGAAAAAGAAAAAAAAATTCCTTAGGTTATGGTTTGACAGAAGTAAGAGAAAAAATAGAGAAAGCCAGACCAAAGACCTATGCCACAAACAGTTTTCAGGTATAGGTCTTACATGTGCATGTGGGGGAGTACAGCTATATTGCATATTTGGACTGGATAAATGACATTTTATTGAACTTTTCTAATAAAACAAATTTACCTGAGGTCATTAATGCCTAAGAAAATCTAACAGGACAAATATCACCACAGTGTGCTTTTTTTGATAGATGACCACAGTTAGCAAAAGATTAGTCATACTTGATTACATTTGGAAATGAATAATAGAATTGAACATGGAGCTATTCAAACCTAAGTAAACCCAGAAATTATATGCTTGAACCAACCCTTTGAATCAGAATTTAAAACCACACCAACTCCTCATATGGCAACCTCACCAGTAGGAAACTTTTGAGGTCACAACCAAAACCCAATAACATGAAGCCCCAAAGGTGAATCCTACCTCACTTTGGACATTAGAAATAAAAAAAAAAACTCCCCTTCACCTTCGCCTAGACTTGGCCTTAATTAACCAAAATAGGACAAGCATAAAATGATCATGGTAGAGATTTAAAACCAGTCCAATCAAACCAGCCCTTAGTAAATGAGCTTTCAAATCTACTCAACAACTAAGAAAGGAGTTAATTTGTCACAACAGGGGGAGCAACTCCAAGTTTTTTTTTTTTTTTTCTTAAATTTTTTTGTGTGCAAGGGTTTTAGTTCACTAGTACATTAAGTTCAAATTTCTGTTGTAATGGACCTATCATCACAATAGCAAGTTGCCTTTTAGTAACCAATTATGGCCTTATGAATCGAAGATTTTCAAGTCAACCGGTTTATTGTAAAACTGTAAATTGTTATATGTGGATAAAAACATGTGTTTTTAATCAAAGTTATCTTATACACTATGTCACTATCTATGAAATTTATCCTGTTTTGTCAAAAAACAAACAAGGTTACCAACAAATCATTTTTGGTTACAAGGACAACAAAGATCAAACAATTCTACTAATTCCTGTTATTTTGTTGCTCTCAACTGGGGTTGGACAAAATAATTTGTTTCAGTTGCATGCAATAGGTTTGTGTTACTCGAGTGAAGTAGTAGAGCTAGGTCCAAATTAAGGCACGCACCACCTTCCTAATTAAAAGTTCAAATCATGACTCATTGGTTTCTAGCAAGGAAATCATAATGGCCCTTGTAGCTTTCTCCAGCCACTGAATGCTGTATCTTGAGACTTGGCGTTTGAAAATTCTGTTTTCGTTTTTTTCCTAAAATGACATGCATCTTGGTATGGGCTGTTACTTTGGAGTTTGGATGAACACTAAATTGGAATACTTAGCTATAGCTAAGATGCCGAATGCCTGAAACTATTACAGCAATTTGTTACCAAATCACGGTACGTGCCGAATGCCTGAAACTATTACAACAAATTGTCACCAAATCACGGTACGTGCCGAATGCTTGAAACTATTATATTTTGAAAATTGAAGCTCTGCCTGAATATTTTGGGGATTTTGGCTTTGAACATTAAATGATGGATACATAGAGACTAAATACTGACAATTAAACAATTTTACAAATTAAAGACAACAACATTACCTTCACTGTTAGCTTTGTGATGAATACAAATTGGTGGTCGACCTAGAAAAGGGGAAAAAACAGAGCAAGAAATACATAAGAAGGAGGAAGAGGAGGAGGTATCCAACTTACCTTCACTGTTAGCTCCGTGCTCTGTGTGCAGCTTGAGAAGAAGACCGAGAAGAAAAAGAAGAAGAAGAGAGATCGATCTTAGTTTCAAGAGATTGAGATCAATCTTAGTTGATTGATTTTACCAGAGAGATTGAGAGAGGGAGTGACAAAAGGTTCAGTCGAGACAAGGGTTCAAACACTTTGAAAAAAGAATGGGGCGGTAGCATGAATATTTTTCGTGCTGCAAAATGTTATATTTTTTGCCCAAGACCCAAGTTTCATTCTTTTCAGAATGAGTCTTACAGCAAGAAATGGTTACCCAAACACCCACATCTCATTCATTCTTACCCATTCTTTTCCAAAATCAGTAAGAATTAAAAGAATGAGGCCAATGGCAGCGAACCAAACATGGCCTAATGCCCATAAAAAATTAAGAGAAAAAGAAAACTTTCTTTGATCCAATTCACAAAATGTAAAAAACCAAGTCAATTGAGGCTCCATAACACCCAATTTGCATATGACAGTTTTTAAAGAAAGAGGGCAAAATCTAGGTGCATTTATAGACAGCATAATTCAAACATGAGCTAACCAGTTATGACATGTGTGACATCTTAAACATTGTTAGTCTTTAATGCACACCTTGTTAAACGTGAACCTAAAACTCAAATCTCCTCGCAATAGAAAACCATTCCAACATGATTCGTGCGGACACAAATCATGTTGGGGAAGTTTTTATTGGATTCACATTGGCACCTCACAGCGAACGCCCCACAGCACATCATTGGAAATATCTCCCAATGGCAAGTACGGGAGGTATTCTCAATGCACACTGAGATGTGCATGTGAGGCAATTGTGGGGGGTTGATGTGATCTCATTTTTATTGGAAGGAGATCCGACCTCATAAATCAATGAAAAGTAAATAGACTATGTGATGTCTTATTAAAATTTTAATATAAGGTGTTGTAAAATTTCAAAATGCTACAGTCGGGCTCAAGGAAGAGCAATCCCCGGAATTTGTGCATTATCTGAGTTTTATTGAACAATCTAGCAGGCAGCTTAGCTCAGTATTCAGCTACACGGCCCTGGCCATGTCTGTATTGGGGTAATAGCCAAGATGCATGTTAGCATTTTAAAACTTTTATGTTTAATTAAACCCCCCCAAAAAAAAACATGAAAAAGAAAGAAACACAAGAGAGGTTATCAACACTTGCTGATATTATCGGCATGCTTGTGTGCCACTTTCAAGGATTCAAAAGGGATTATTTTTGTGAAACATGAAGTGTAAGAAAATTAAAAGACTGATTAAATTAATTTCAAAATGGGATTTCCAGTTCTTCCACCATTGATCATCTAGGCCGGACCACAAGTAGAACAAATTCGATTACTAAGGGCACTCCTGGAAGTTGGAGTGTTGGACCAATTTAAATTGTTGAGAGACCTTTCAACAATACCTCTTCTAGAACCACCAGTCATGCATTATGTAACTGACCAAAAGGAAATGCTTTACATTATTTGGGGTTTTACCTCCCTCACCCCCCTTCTATTTCTCTCTCCAGAGAAGATAAAGGAATATGGCATCATAGTTAGAGAGGAATAGCAGAACATAATTATTTACATTAGAAAATTGAAAAGATGGGGAATCTACATGATTGAATATCCTGGACCACCGCCTCCTTCTGGTACTGTCCACTCAATATTTTGTTTTGGGTCCTTGATATCGCATGCCTGCAAAATTAACAATAGATAATTTTGGAATAACCAAATGAATGTGAGATGGTAGGAAAAAAAAGATGAAAAATATCAAGAAATGGCAGGAACAGCATGACTGCATATTCAAGGGTTGTCTGGTTGAATACTTGAATAGTAGACTACTAAATTCTTCCCCCCCTTGAGATTGTGGAGGATGAATTTTCCAATACATGTTGAATAGTTTGACAAAGTAGGGAGGGTGCAGTAATATCATTGGATTTGATTATTTCCTTCCCCTCATGCAGTTAAGATTTTCAAATAGAAAAGGAAAACGGGACTAAAGCTTTCTAAATACCTTACCTACCTTTTTATTCTATACATGCTTAAATACATGTTGATACAACATGTGATCACCTAAGTTTGTATTCACATAGAGATCCAACTAAAAGATGCCATTTTCATTTGGTCACTTGAAAAAAAAATATGATTAACCTGACAATACACCAGAATAATCTAGGCAAAAGTTAACTAACCTTGCAATGGAGGCAGTTTTGAGCATTGATTTGCAACTTTTGCTGACCTTGCTCATTAATGACATACCTTTGTTTCATGCAAATACCAAAGAAATGTCAGATGGAATCCACAACATAAGATCACTGGAATCACAAGATAAAGTACAGTGCACTCTACTCGTATACGCGTGCAGGGCAGTATCGTGACTCAGGTCCTGCATATTTTGGCAAATTTACACGTTCGGGTATTGTTGGATCCCTCAGATGAAGATGGGCTGGTTGGTCATGTTCATGGTTTGTGTTGCTCCTAACAGAAAAAAAAAACAAAAAAATATATTATGACCTAAAAAATACAAAAAAGGGAGAGAGAGAGAGAGAGAATACAAGGCTTCCCTAGGGGGCTTCATCAAATGTTGACTTAACCAACTGCATGTGCACTGTGTGAACAATGACACTAAGAAAGTTTTCCTCTTTTGTGGATCCACTAAGTAATACAATCAAATATTCAATCACTTTTTTTGGGGTGTAGACTAAATTGTATTGAGATGAAAAATATACAATTTAGAATCATGGAGGAATCAAAGAACATAGTCATCATGGGCTATTGAGACAGCCACAGAGTGACCCAAAATATACAAACAATCAAAAGGGGCCATCACAAGATCAAAAACTCAGAAGTCAGAACCAAGACAAAAATCATACAAAAGGCATTCTAAATACTCCAATTACTCGTGAAACATAGATTTTTAGAAGGAAAATAAGAAAAAAGACTTCCTGCAAGGATCTAATCCAAGAAAATCAATCTGGCTTCTGAGGAAAACAGGAAGTCAAAGACCAAACTGCCAATTTTCATTGTAGAAGTGCTCACATTAATTTTGGGAAACTAATCTCAACCTTTGGGATTAATAAATTTATCTGCTATTAAGATACACCTAAAATAGTAATTAACAGCATAGTCAGACTTTATAACACCATCCTGCTGCTCAACATTCCGGAGTCTTGAATTACTATGCAATAACGATTATATATTTCAAAAATATATATTGACCAAGCAGAAGATAATCCTCAACAGATGCTTGAGCATTAAACTCTAATCACAAATGGAAGATCACCGTCTATTTGTGTTTTCAGCAATAAAAAATCAATGGAATCTGAGAATTATTGAGAAGAAGAGAAGGAAAGAACAGTAGAAGAAACTAGGGGAAGAAGAGAGTGGAAAGAACACAGCCAATAATGGGGAATAAAGAGACCTCCACTTCTTTTAATCAGTCAAGCCAATCAATAACTGTTAAGTTACAAGACTTCTGATTAGTGGCAATAAGAAAAAAAAGAAAAATAAAATAAAAATAAAAGGCCCATGGCCCATAAGCATAATAAAAGAAAACAAGTAACAAAGGTCCAATAATAATAAATGCTAAAAGAGGATAGAATTCCAATAATCCAATCTGTCAACACACCTGAAGGGGCTTATAACCCTCCTAGAGAAATGAGACCCTCAGCTTCTTGGCTGGGCCTCTTGTTTCACTACGTTCCTAAATTTGCATATTCAATCATGTATCTTTTTTTTTTCCAATTTAATCGACACATTGTTTTATATTCATTTCTTTGGGGTTTGATTAGAGCATGGTTTGTAATTTTGATATCAATGGGCATTTCACCAATGTAGAGATGCAGATATCTCAGAGATATTTTGCTAATTCCGCTAAGATATTTGGAAAATCTAAAATACCAGGCAAGTTTTCTAGAAACACAGAATTAGTTAATAAATCTTTAACAAATCATTATAAAAAATATAATTGCACAGCTATAGCAAAGAACTGTATAAATCAAATAGGAGAAAATTAAGAGACTTTAATAGGTACCTTTCTCTATCTCCCTTTTTGCCTTTTAACCACCTTCTCTTCATTTAATATGTCAATTACTTGGCATTTTGACTTTTATCTTTTTTGTTACTACAGTTTGGATTATATTGAGAACACTCTTTCGTAGTTATATGCATTTTTCTACTTCTTTTGAATTATAGTGACTTAGTAAGTGAATCATATGAAAATAGTAAGCCAATTGTCCAGTCACAAATTCTCCATTGGTTCTTTTAGGAAAATACTTTTAAAGAATTATGATGATTATAATAAAATATCGGAAGTTTTTAATAATATTCTAAAATTTTAAACCTTAAATATATAGTATATCAATGAAATCTGAAATATCGCTGACATATCAACAAAATATCAAAGATATTTGGAAGAAAAGATTCCCGAAAAATTTCATATCACCACTTAGCAAAAAGGAATATATTAGGGATAATTTGCCAAATATCGCTGATATTGCGAACCATGGATTAGAGTAGTGAGAAAAGATTAAAGAAAAATGAAAGCAAGAAGGAAGAAAAGAAGAACAATAAGAGAGAAGTAGAAGGGGAAGAAAAGACGAAGAGTTAGGGCAGCAAAATTGAGGGCCATACTCCATTCATTAAATTATATAATCATGGGAATATTACAAAGATACCCCTGATTATTAGAGAGATAGATAGCCCATATGGCATGACAAAAATGCCCCTGAGTACATATGAGCTTACTTATCAACACTCACAACACTCCCCCTCAAGATGAGCATAGATGTCAATCATGCCTAGCTTGCCAAGATTGTTTTCCAATTTAGATTGAGAAAACTTTTGTTGAGAGAGTCCGCAAATTGATATCCTGACCTAACAAATGGTAAGCAGATTTCACCATTAGCCACTCTTTTCTTAATAAAATGTCTATCAACCTCAATGTGCTTTGTACGGTTATGCTGGACAAGATTGAGAGCAATACTTATAGTTGCTTGGTTGTCACAATATAACTTCAGGGAAGTGTCAAATTGTAACCCAATTTCAATCAACAGGTTCTTCAACCATAATAACTCCGATATTCCATGAGCCAAATGCTCAATAGTCTGCCTTTGCACTTGATTGAGCCATAATAGATTGTTTGTTGCTTCTCCAGAAAAGTGCAATAACCTGAAGTAGATTGTCGATCATCCATTGTATGACATTTGTATGCTGTCTTTGTTTTGTTTTGCTTTTTTTTATGAATAATTAGAGTTTTATTAAAATACGTAATGTAAAGACTTTACAATCATCCCTCATAGAGGCACGAGCTACTATCTCTCATACAAATAAGAACATATTACAACTGTGCCTTGAATAAAATAGACCTGTCCACCCCTTGTTTAGACAAAGCATCCGCCATCCCATTTGCTGATCTTCTCACCCATTGTATCCTTAAATTCATATTCCTGGTTAGCTAAGTAAATTTTTTTCATTTTACTCCTGTAGCACCAAATTGTCTTTGTTTTGTTTTGTTGGAGTCGGGCATGTTGTTCGGGGGTGGTGATGGAGATTGGAGGTTTGTGGGAGGTTAGCATTGTTTTGTATGTTAGGAGTTCTTTTGTTTTCTGTGGTTGCTTGATGTAGTTCAGTCGGAGTTCTTTTTCTCTCGGGTGATAGCTTGTCACCTTTCTGTTGTATTCTCTTTTTTCTCTTATGAAATTTTCTTTTATTATAAAAAAGAGGTTTTCAATACAGTTTTCTGATGTCATCACACAGACATGATGACATCATCCCTAGCTGAGGTTCTCCAAAACACCAAAAAATGAGCTTCCCCCTGCTTTGATACCAAGTAGTGAGAAAACATTAAAGAAAAATGAAGGCAAAAAGCAAGAAAAGAATAAGAAAAATAGGAGGGAAGTATGAGAGAAGAAAAGAGGAAGAGTTAGGGCAGTAAAAGTGAGAACACACCCCATTCATTAGATTATATAGTTGTGGACAAAATTACAAAGATACCCTTGATTGGTAGAGAGATAGATAGCTCATATTGAATAACAAAAACGCCCCTGATTACAAACAAGCTTGCATATCAACACTCACAGCAATTAGCAAAATTGCTCAGCATTATTTAGAGACTACGGGCTTCCGAGCTTGTCAAGTTATCTTCATAGCAATAAAACTAATGACAGCCTATGAGTTGGGGGCAAAAAGAAATTATGATCATCAGAAATGGCTGCAGGTCAGATTCTGGGTTTCCTGACCTTAGTATTCATCCTAGCACAACTATCATAGATTTTCTCTTCACAAGTCCCAGCTGCCAATGCTACAGACCCAAGGCTGGAAAAAAGGTTTTTTTTTTTTGGAAAAAAGTCATGATTACAGAAAATGACTCTATGACTGTAGGCCAGATAGCAGTTGGACATGTGGATGTCCTGATGTTAGTAATCCTCCTAGCACAACTATACTAAATTTTTTCTTCAATAGTACCAGTTGCTAATGCTCAACATAAGGCTGAAAAGGATTTTCATTTTCCTACAACACATAAATAAATCCAAAGAAGACAATTAAGTAGCTAATAAGAGTTAATGCATATATAGAGGAATAGGTAACCATCGTAACCATCAGACCTGTATAAAGAGGTTGGAACATCAAATGACACCAATCCATCTGGCTTTGAGTAGTGAATCGGAGAGTGTACACTTGCAACCTGCACATGAGAGAGCAAAGTAATTGGTATCTGATACAAAAGGCATCTAACTGTTATGTAGAAGCCCAAACAAATGTTAAAAATAATAAAAAAAGACATCAGCATTCATCAAAGGTGCGAATTTACAACTTAATGTGTTCACTAATGTATCTATATCCTACCCATCCAAGTAGCAAAAGTTTACACAACATACAACTTTCAAACATTTCGTGATTCAAGAAGAATGAATAAAAAACTTTTAGGCATAGTAAGAGACAAACTCATAATTTTATCAATGAATTTTATGAGAAAAGCTAAACGAACAAATCAATCTGGTGAAAATCAGCTCCTCAAAGTTTATATTACAAGCATAAGAAGAAACAAGAGGAGAGAGGTAAATATCCTTTAGATTGACTTTACAAGGGTATGGCAACCCCTGACAATCAATGGGAATAACATCCTAATCAGCAACCAAAAAAAAAAAAAAGGAAATTGCTTCATGCTCAATTTTATTGGCCTCAATAGGAGATGAAAAAGCAAGGGAGAAACATGGATATGGGTGGCTGTCAAGTATGACAAGAGTGGGAAGAAGAGTTTTATTGGAGAAACAAGCATAGATCATGCAAGCAGCCCTGGGATTTTAGAGGATAAAGAGCCTGATAGCTGTGCCATGGGTGACGGAGGTGCAGAGTTTCTTTGTGATTCTGCTGCATCCGAAGTTTCAGATAGGTGCAGACTGGAATCTGTAAAGTGTGATGTATTGACTCCGGGAGTGATTCTTCCTGCGGGGAGAAGGAGATTGGGGAAGGGTGTGTCTCTGTAGGTGATGAACAATGAGAATAAGGAGAGGGGAAACAGGTGATGGAGAAGGTGTGGGGAGCCTAGAGTGGAGTTACGATGAGGATAGCTTTCAATCCGGAGAGGTGATGGCAGGAAGATTGGGGGTTGATCTGGGCCGTAGGAGCAAGATTGATGAAAAAGCGAGGTGATCAACAAGAAATCTCGTAGCCTGAAGACTCTTAATGCAGTGCATGTGACGAAGGTATTCTCCAGGCTAAACCTTGGCCTGGCAGGAGCAGGCCCCACGAAAAACTACAAATAGGTTTATAAAAGGAAAAATTAAGAGGCAGCAGGTCATCTGGCACTGAAAACAGGGGGACAATGGCGCAAAGCCAGCCTGTGTCTTCCTATTCAGGAGAGAAGCAACAGAAGGACAACCTGAATGTTGACAACTTTGCTTCTGGTAAGAGCAAGACAATGCAAAAAGACGGGGGCGTTGATATTAGGACAGGGAGTGGGACCCTTCAGAATTTGGTGGGTAGAGAGGTCATGATTGGAAAGAGCTTGGGTTTGTTTTTCTAGGGTGGTGAGGAGTTTGCTAGAAGGGCTTTTGAGGAGTTTGAAAGAAGGAAATGGGAAGAGAAGATGAATAAAGAAACTCATCGAGAAGGCGACTAGTGGTGGGATGAAGATATTTCAAGTTGGGAGGATGAGTTCGTGGTGGAAGATTGAGGTCTTGGTCGTGGAGCAAGGAGTGTTTAAGTTTCTGGTTAGGGGTGATTTGGATGCTTTTGCTCACATGGGTTTCTGGCTCGTTTTCTTGGGTTGTGCTTGCGATTGGTTTGAGAAAAGCTTCAAGTGTTGTCAGTTGTGGTTTTATGGGTTTTAGTCTGGGACTATTGAGATCTTTGTTGGTTATTTGGGTTTGTTTCCTCTTCTTTGTTTAATGAATTTTATTTTACTCTTCAAAAAAAAACTATAATTCAGAACATAAAGGGCAATCTACTGCTTAGCCCCTCGAGCCCCCAACAAATGCTCTCTATGCACTTTATTCCCAGTGAGTGAATCAGAAAAGGAAAGGACCCCTAAGCAAAGGAGCCCTACTAGTTTTTATTTATTTTTTTCTCCTGACCGGTAAAATAACAATATACAAATATAAGCTACACAAGGAGTACAAAAAAGGAGGCAAGAAGAAAAACCTCAATCTCTGCCTTGCAATGTCTTATAAACCTCTGATATACATGAAAGCCTCAAATCAAGATAAAACCCAACCAAAAGGCATAGACATCCTGTTTTGGAATGGTAGAATACTGATGTATTTCATTCTATTGCCAATCGGCATATTTATACAGTAAGCTGCTGCAATAAATAGAAAGAAGAAAAAATAGAAAGAAAAGAAAATAGAAAGTAGAAAAATAGAAAGAAAAGAAAATAGAAAGTATAAGAATAGAAAGAAAGAAATAGAAAGAAAAACTTTCTAAA